CCTCCCTTTTCAGTGCCCCTGGTCATCCAGGCCACAGCAAACCTCTTTCAGCTGCTGCTTCTCTTTCTTATGTCTTCCCTGCTTCTCTGTGTTGGTTAATCTGAAGCACTGAGCACATCCTGCTGCAGATCTCACAAAAATCTCACATGACTCTGTCATCCATACTCCTAACCCTGGTCTTCTAGATGCCTCACGACTCAGCACCACCCCACCCACCTTCCAGAATGGCTCTGTTCCTCCCCCCACCTGAGCCTGTTTTAGTCCCTGCCTTTGTAATATCACATGAGAATTTCTGATGGCAAGTCTTTGTGTATAAGTTTTAGCCTGAATCATTTTTCTTTTGTCCTTTCATACTGCAAATACTGCTTCTCCTTCAAGGTCAAACCTTTCATGAAGTTGTACCTCATACCTGGCACATTGACATATCCCTTCTCTGACTTCGGTGTCTACACTGTTTTGGGCGTTTAGTTTCTGTACTGCTTTGCAGTGTGGAACAATGTTGCACAGTTCATGCCATTGTCTCCATTTATGCTATAATTTAGTGGACAGTAAATGTTCAGCCTACATTCTGGTATCTCTTCCAGCCCCTTGCATTGTGCAACACACATAGTATTTGACTTTGTAGAACTTAAGAATTGAGTAGATGTATCAGTATACAAAATTGGCTACTTTAGGAGTAATAGCTTTTTAATAAATATTATAATTACAAATATGGATATATAGAAGGATTTATGGAAGTCTGTATTAATTCAGGTCTTGTTACACCTTTGGGTATAGCATATATTTGAATCCGAATAGATGAAGTCGTGTGTTTTAGAGGCGTAATGTAAAGCCCCAGATATTACATATTGTCCTGTTTAAGTACAAGCGATTTACATAATTGAAAGAGATTTTAAGGACCAGAATTAGTGCTATTCTGAATTGCCCTTTTCTTTATGCCAGAAATGCATACAAAAGGCTATGTGTATATGCATATGCTATTCATAATTGATATTTTACCTTTCATAATGAAAAATTATCTGATAAAGGTAAAAATTGATATTTTACCTTTCATAACGAAAAGTTAAAATAGTAAAATTCTTATTTCAATTTTACATTTATGTTATTGAGATAAACAATGGCAGGATATCTGATGTTTTTAATATGCCCTTTTAATCTACCTTTAAAATTTGTTTACTTTCATTTTTTGGAGATGGGGTCTTGCTCCGTTGTCTAGGCTATAGTGAGGTGGCACAATCATAGTGCACTACAACCCTGAACTCCTGGTCTCAAGCAATCCTCCTGCCTCAGCCTCCTGATTAGCTGTAATTACGGGTGCACATCATTATGCCCAGCTAATTATTTTATTTTTTATTTTTTTAAAGATGGGGTTTCGCTATGTTGCCTAGGCTGGTCTTGAACTCCTGGGCTGAAGCAATCTTCCTGCCTTGGCTCCTAAAGTTCTGGGATTCTAGATGTGAGCCACTGCTCCCAGACAATCTACCTGTTACATGTTATTTAGATAATTGGTTTTGAAACATGTAGGGTGTGTTTTGTTTAGGTATCTTTAATTCAAATAATATTGTACTTAAGTAAACAAAGAAAAGACTAGATGGATGAGCAACAGATGGATTTTAAAACAAAATGTAACACAACTCTCCTTAGATTTATGATAGGAAGCACAATTTAATTTTTATTTTATACAGTGACATATAAAATAATAATGTGACTAATTCGGCTAATATACTTTTGCTTTTCTAGTAGGTATTTATTTCTTGTTTATTTGAGGATTCTAAATATTAGCATCTTCTTCTAACTCTGTGCCCTTCTTTCTAACCAGTGTGGAAAGAAAAGACCCTCTGGCGGCCTTGGCCCGGGAATATGGCGGTTCCAAGCGCAATGCTCTACTGAAATGGTGCCAGAAAAAGACACAGGGTTATGCGGTAAGGGACATCAACCAACATCCAGCCGGCCCCAGGCAGTAGTATCCCTGTGCCAGTACATGTTCCATGTGTGCCTGTGCTTGGTAGGACGATAGGTGTGTAATTATCATCTTTCTGTTCTCCTAGGCAAGGCTGCCAGGGAGGGTTTGATATCTGTGCACTGCCCAAAGGCAGCCAGACAGAGAGGCAAATGCAACTGAAAAACAGTCTGCACTCCACCAAACGTATGGCTGCATGCAAAGCAGCATGTCCTGCAGAAAAGGGGACCTTTTTCTTTGCTCAGAGTGTTACTGACCGCAGGTTCTTGGGCTCTCAATGCAATATAAATTGTCATGAGGCCAAAAGAGTTTTCCCAACAAGGCTTTATTGGAGCTTATGCCCAGGCATGAGGGAGGAAGCACAGAAGAGGGAGGATTCTCTGGCTGACTCCCTGAAATGAGCTGGTAGGGATTTTTTTATTAAGCAGGAATTAAGAAGGAATTGATATCAAGGTAAGGAATGTGGGCTGGGCTGGGTAGAGCAAGTGAGGGGTAGGGGATGTGGGTCAGCTTATCTGCTGACGATGGTTGTCTTGAGTAATGAGCTAGCTGGCGGTCTGGTCGGTGGCAGGAAGGCTGTACATCAGTTGTTTAGCATTCCTTCCTGAGGCGAGACACTGGCAATTTTGGTTGGATATTTTGGATTTCCTAGGGTTAGTTTCTGGAATTCTTTAAGTAAAAGAATTAAACATTCTTTTATTCTTTTAAACATTATGAGAGTGCAGAAAAACAATGTGGTTGTTTTCTTTGCATGACTTCAGGTACGCCAGTGATGTAATGGTGTGGGTTTTGTGATCAGTGGGAATGCAAGAAATAATGCTGTAGTGGGGTGAGCTGAAGATAAGCCCCGTCCCTGCACTGTCTCAGAAGTTGGTTGATGTATTCCTGGTGGATACAAACTTCAGAATGGAACTCCTGGGCCCTAGGGTGTGCATACAATCTAGTGGATAGTGCCAAACAGATGACTGAAGTGACTGTACACTTTCTGTCCCTCCAGCAATCTATGAGAGATTTATTTCTTTGCATTCTTATCAGCACTTGGTATTGTCAGTCTTTTTACTCAAGGGCATGTGGGTAATGTATAGTAAGTAGTGTCTCATTATGGTTTTTATTTGCATTTTCCTGTTGACTGGGGAGGCTGAGCACCTTTTCATATGCAAACTGGCCATGTGGATAGTCCCGTTTGGGATGCACCTGCTCAGGTCTTTTGCACATTTTGTTTGTGTTTGGGGGAGTGGCTCTGTAAGCCAGATATGAACTTTTGCTCCTTTTTAAAAATTTTTACTTTAAGTTGTGGGATACATGTGCAGAATGTGAAGGTTTGTTACGTAGGTATACACATGCCATGGTGGTTTACTGGACCCATCAACCCATCATCTACATTAGGTATTCTCCTAATGCTATCCCTCCCCTAGCCCCCCAACCACTGACAGGCCCCAGTGTATGATGTGTTCTCATTGTTCAACTCCCACTTATGAGTGAGAATATGCAGTGTTTGGTTTTCTGTTCCTGTGTTAGTTTGCTGAGAATGATGGTTTCCAGCTTCAGCTGTGTCCCTGCAAAGGACATGAACTTGTCCTTTTTTATGGCTGCATAGTATTCCATCATGTATATTGCCACATTTTCTTTATCCAGTCTATCACTGATGGGCATTTGGGTTGGTGCCAACTCATTGCTATTGTGAACAGTGCTACAATAAACATATGTGTGCATGTGTCTTTATAGAACGATTTATAATCCTTTGGGTATATACCTAGTAATGGGATTTCTGGGTTAAATGGTATTTCTAGTTCTAGATCCTTGAGGAACTACTACACTGTCTTCCACAATTTTTGAACTAATTTACACTCCCACCAACAGTGTAAAAGTGTTCCTGTTTCTCCACATCGTCTCCAGCATCTGTTGTCTCCAGATTTTTTAATGACCGCCATTCTAACTGGCATGAGATGGTATCTCAATGTGGTTTTGATTTGCATTTCTCTAATGACCAGTGGTGATAAGCATTTTTTCATGTTTCTTGGCCACATAAATGCCTTCTTATGGGCTTGTTTGTTTTTTTCTTGTATATTTGTTTTAGTTCTTTGTAGATTCTGGATGTTAGCCCTATGTCAGATGGGTAGATTGCTGACATTTTTTCCCATTCTGTTGGTTGCCAGTTCACTCTAATGATTGTTTCTTTTGCTGTGCAGAAGCTCTTAAGTTTAATTAGATCCCATTTGTCTAATTTGGCTTTTGTTGCCATTGCTTTTGGTGTTTTAGTTATGAAGTCCTTGCCTATGCCTATGTCCTGAATGATATTGCCTAGGTTTTCTTCTAGGGTTTTTATGGCGTTAGTTCTTATGTTTAAATCTTTAATCCATCTTGAGTTAATTTTTGTATAAGATGTAAAGAAGGGGTCCAGTTTCAGCTTTCTGCATATGGCTAGCCAGTTTTCCCAACACCATTTATTAAATAGGGGATCCTTTCCCCATTGCTTGTTTTTGTTAGGTTTGTAAAAGATCAGATGGTTGTAGATGTGTGGTGTTACTTCCAAGGCCTCTGTTCTGTTCCATTGGTCTATATCTCTGTTTTGGTACCAGTACTATGCTGTTTTGATTACTGTAGATTTGTAGTATAGTTTGAAGTCAGGTAGCGTGATGCCTCCAGCTTTGTTGTTTTTGCTTAGGATTGTCTTGGCTATGTGGGCTCTCTTTTGGTTCCATATGAAGTTTAAGGTGGTTTTTTCCAGTTCTGTAAAGAAGGTCACTGGTAGCTTGATGGAGATAGCATTGGGCACTATGGCCATTTTCATGATATTGATTCTTACCAACCATGAGCATGAAATGTTTTTCCATCTCTTTGTGTGCTCTCTTATTTCCCTAAGCAGTGGTTTGTAGTTCTCCTTGAAGAGGTTCTTCACGTCCTCTATTAGTTGTATTCCTAGGTATTTTATTCTGTTTGTAGCAGTTGTGAATGGGAGTTTGCTCGTGATTTGGCTCTCTGTCTGTTACTGGTGTACAGGAATGCTTGTGATTTTTGCACATTGATTTTGTATCCTGAGACTTTGCTGAAGTTGCTTATCATTTTTTTTTTTTCCTTAACCGTATGCGTTTTGTCAGGCCCGAGGGCCTCTTCCATCCTTGTCAAGGGGAGTGCTAACCTTCTCTCCTTTCATACAACACTGAAGTTGCTTATCATTTAAAGGAGATTTTGGGCTGAGAAGATGGAGTTTTCTAAATATACAATCATGTCATCTGCAACAGAGACAATTTGACTTCCTCCTTCCTATTCAGATACCCTTTATTTCTTTCTCTTGCCTGATTGCCCTGGCCAGAACTTCAAATACTACCTTGAGTAGGAGTGGTGAGAGAGGAGAGGGCATCCTTGTCTTGTGCTGGTTTTCAAAGGGAATGCTTCCAGCTTTTGCTCATTCAGTATGATATTGGCTGTGGATTTGTCATAAATAGCTCCTACTATTTTGAGATATGTTCCATCAATACCTAATTTATTGGGAGTTTTTAGCATGAAGTGGTGTTGAATTTTATTGAAGGCCTTTTCTGCATCTATTGAAATAATCATGTGATTTTTGTCATTGGTTCTGTTTATGTGATGGATTATGTTTATTGATTTATGTATATTAAACCAGCTTTGCATCCCAGGGATGAAGCTGACTATTGGGGTGGATAAGACTTTCGATGTGCTGCTGGATTCAGTTTGCCAGTATTTTGCTGAGGATCTTCTTATTGATGTTCATCAGGGATGTTGGCCTGAAATTTTTGTTTTTAGTTGTTTCTCTGCCAGGTTTTGGTATCGGGATGATGCTGGCCTCATAAAATGAGTTAGGGAGGAGTCCCTCTTTTTCTATTGTTTGCAATAGTTTTGAAAGGTAATGGTACTACTCCTCTTTGTACCTCTGGTGTAATTCGGCTGTGAATCCATCAGGTCCTGGGCTTTTTTTTGATTGGTAGGCTATTAATTACTGCCTCAATCAGAACTTGTTATTGGTCTGTTTAGGGATTTGACTTCTTCCTGGTTTAGTCTTGGGAGGGTTTATGTATCCAGGAATTTATCTCTTTCTTCTAGATTTTCTAGTTTATTTGCATAGAGCTGTTTATAGTATTCTCTGATAGTAGTTTGTATTTCTGTGGAAGCAATGGTGATATCCCCTTTATCATTTTTTATTGTGTCTATATGATTCCTCTCTCTTTTCTTCTTTATTATTGTGGCTAGAGGTCTATCTATTTTGTTAATCTTTTCAAAAAACCAGCTCCTGGATTCATTGATTTTTTTTGAAGGGTTCCTCTTGTCTCTATCTCCTTCAGATCTGCTCTTAGTTATTTCTTGTCTTCTGCTAGCTTTTGAATTTGTTCTTGCTTCTCTAGTTCTTTTAATTGTGATGTTAAGGTGTCGATTTTAGAGCTTTCTTGCTTTCTACTGTGGGCATATAGTGCTATAAATTTTCCTCTGAACACTGCTTTAGCTCTGTCCCAGAGATTCTGGTATGTTGTGTCTTTGTTCTCATTGGTTTCAAAGAACTTATTTATTTTTGCCTTAATTTCATTATTTACCCAGTAGTCAGTCAGCAGCAGGATGTTCAGTTTTCATGTAGTTATGTGGTTTTTAGTGAGTTTCTTAATCCTGAGTTCTAATTTGATTGCACTGTGGTCTAAGGGACAGTTTGTTATGATTTCCATTCTTTTGCATTTGCTGGGGAGTGTTTTACTTTCAATTATGTGGTCAATTTTAGAATAAGTGCGATGTGGTGCTGAGAGGAACATATATTCTGTTGATGTGAGGTAGAGAGTTCTGTAGATGTCTATTAGGTCCGCTTGGTCCAAAACTGAGTTCAAGTCCTGAACATCCTTGTTAATTTTCTGTCTCATTGATCTGTCTAACATTGACAGTGGGGTGTTAAAGTCCCCCGCCATTATTGTGTGGGAGTCTAAATCTCTTTGTAGGTCATTAAGAACTTGCTTTATGTATCTGGGTGCTCCTGTATTGGGTACATATATATTTAGGATTGTTAGCTCTGGTAAATATTCCTCTATCCCTTTATTTTGAGCCTATGTGTTTCTTTGCATGTTAGATGGGTCTCCTGAATACAGCAATCAGATGGATCTTGACTCATCCAATTTGCCAGTCTGTGTCTTTTAATTGGGTCATTTAGCTCATTTACATTTAAGGTTAATATTTTTATGTGTGAATTTGATCCTGTCATTATGATGCTAGCTGGTTATTTTGCCTGTTAATTGATGCAGTTTCTTCATAGTGTCGATAGTCTTTACATTTTGGTATAGTTTTGCAGTGGCTGGTACTGGTTTTTCCTTTCCATGTTTAGTGCTGCCTTCAGGAGCTCTTGTAAGAGCTCAGCATTTGCTTGTCTGTAATGGATTTTATTTCTCCTTCGCTTATTAAGCTTAGTTTGGCTGGATATGAAGTTCTGGGTTGAAAATTATTTTCTTTAAGAATGTCGAATATTGGAACACACTCTTTTTTGGCTTGTAGGGTTTCTGCAGGGAGAGCTGCTGTTAGTCTGATGGGCTTCTCTTTGTGAGTAACATGACCTTTCTCTGGCTGTACTTAACATTTTTTCATTCATTTCCACCTTGGTGAATCTGATGATTTTGTGTCTTGGTGTTGTTCTTCTCAGGGAGTATTTCAATTTGAATATTGGCCTGTCTTGCTAGGTTGGGGAAGTTCTCCTGCATAGTCTCCTGAAGAGTGTTTTCCAACTCTGTTCCACTCTCCCCATCACTTTCAGGTACACCAATCAAACGCAGGTTTGGTCTTTTCACATAGTACCATATTTATTTTGAAAGCTTTGTTCGTTCCTTTTCATGCTTCTTTCTCTAATCTTTCCTTTATGCTTTATTTCAGTAAGTTGATCTTCAATCTCTGATATCCTTTCTTCTGCTTGATTGATTCAGCTATTGATACTTCTATATGTTTCATGAACTTCTTGTGCTGTTTTTCAGCTTCATCAGGTCATTTTTATTCTTCTCTAAACTAGTTATTTTAGTTAGCAGTTCCCCTAACCTTTTTTCAAGGTTCTTAACTTCCTTGCATTGGGCTAGAACATGATCCTTTAGCTCGGGAGTTTATTATTACCTACCTTCTGAAGCCTACTTCTGTCATATCATCAAACTCATTCTCCATCCAGTTTTGTTCCCTTGCTGATGAGGAGTTGTGAACCTTTGGAGGAGAAGAGGCATCCTGGCTTTTGGAATTTTTAGCATTTTTGCACTTGTTTGTCCTCATCTTTGTGGATTAATCTACCTTTGTTCTTTGATATTGTTGACCTTCAGATGGTGTGTTTGTGTGGATGTATTTTTTGTTGATGTTGATGCTGTTCCTTTCTGTTTGTTGGTTTTCCTTCTAACAGTCAGGCCCCTCTACTGCACGTCTGGTAGAGTTTGCTGAAGGTCCACTCCAGACCCTGTTTGCCTGGGTATCACCAGCAGAGGCTGCAGAACAGCAAAGATTGCTCCCTATTCCTTCTTCTGGAAGCTTTGTCCTAGAGGGGCACCTGCCAGATGCCAGCTGGAGCTCTCCTGTATGAGATATCTGTTGACCTCTGCTGGGAGATATCTCCCAGTCAAGAGGCAGAGGGGTCAGGGACCCACTTGAGGAGGCAGTCAGTTTCTTAGCAGAGTTCAAACGCTCTGCTGGGATATCCACTACTCTCTTCAGAGACAGCAGGCAAGAACATTTAAATCTGCTGAAGCTGTGCCCCCAGCCACCCTTTCCCCCAGGTGCTCTGTCCCAGGGAGATGGGAATTTTATCTACAGTCCCTTGACTGGGGCTGCTGCCTTTCTTTCAGAGATGTCCTGCCCAGAGAGGAGGAATCTAGAGAGGCAGTCTGGCTACAGCAGCTTTGTAGTGGGCTCTGCCCAATTCAAACTTCCCAGTGGCTTTGTTTACCCTGTGAGAGGAAAACTGCCTACTCAAGCCTCAGCAATGACAGACACCGCTCCCCCGCACCAAGCTCAAGCATCCCAGGTTGGCTTCAGACTGCTGTGCTGGTAGCGAGAATTTCAAGCCAGTGGATCTTAGCTTGCTGTGCTCTATGGGGGTGGGATCTGCTGAGCTAGACCACTTGGCTCCCTGGCTTCACCCCTCTTTCCAGGGGAGTGAATGGTTCTGTCTAACTGGCGTTCCAGGCATCACTGGGGTATGAATAAAAAATCCTGCAGCTGGCTTGGTGTCTGCCCAAATGGCCTCCCAGTTTTGTGCTTGAAACCCAGGGCCCTGTTGGTGTATGCACCCGAGGGAATCTCCTGGTCTGCAGGTTTTGAAGACCATGGGAAAAGCACAGTATCTTGGCCGGAGAGCACCATCCCTCATTGCACAGTCCCTCACGGCTTCCCTTGGCTGGGGAGGGAGTTCCCCAACCCCTTGTGCTTCCCTGGTGAGGCGACACCCCGCCCTGCTTCGGTTTGCCCTTTGTGGGCTGCATCCACTATCTAACCAGTCCCAGTGAGATGAGCTGGGTACCTAAGTTGGAAATGCAGAAATCACCTCAGACCCCTGTTTGTTCTTCCTGCTACCCTGTCCACTCTGCCTCCGCCCTGTTTCGAGACTAGACCATGCCATGAAGGAAGGTCCCTCGGTTACAGCATCTCCCAGCCCATCAGCCACACTGCTGGAGCACACAGGAAAGAATAAGAAGCCAGAGGGAGGCTGTTGCCTGCAGGAGGTTTAGTGTAAAGGAAATAGAAATGGCAACGGGAAATTAAAGAAAACAGTTAAAAAGAGCAGTCATTCAAGAATGACACCACTGATGCCGCCTGTGCTGTCTTTCCCCACCCGACAGAAATGGACCGAGCCAGCTGCCAGAGTGGATATGAAAAGACAATTAGCATTTTCAGAAGGAGTAGCCTTTTATGAAGTAACCTTGTTGTAATGCAGGAAAGAGACAGACAGTAAGATGTTTCCAGTCAGGATTACAAGAATAGTATTTTCTACTGGAGTGATTTTTTTTTTTCTGTGAACATCTTGGATTAGTTTTCAAAACATTTTATGTTTGATGAAACCCAAAACTCATTTTGCCTGAAGAGTACTTTTCACTCATTATTAAATCTCTATATATTTAATATATCTCTATATTAAATCTCTATATGAGAAATATGAACATGCATCTGCTTTATTTACTCTTTACAAATATTCTATGTCTAGACCTGT